GCGAGTCGTGATATCGACGCCTGAGTAGAACAGCTTCCATCCATTGAGGTTCAGGAGTCCAGAGCCCTGGCGTTTTGTTGACGAGAGTCCAACAATGTCGAGTTGGTACTTCGTGGCCTCTCAACAAATTCATGTCCTTTTCCTCTGAGTGCGGATATGTTCCAATTTCTGACTTTAAGCTACCACTGGTGGTGTCATTTTCGTTGGAGCCTTTTCTGACGTGCTGTAATGGCATTGCGCTGTCTGCCTCCTCCGTTCAGAACGGGTAGCGACTCCGGTTGCTGACTGGTATCTTCGTCGTCGTTGCGTCGGTCTTCGTCAGCCGTCTTTGTGTTGCCACGCCCCCTGCTGGCATAGGGCAATGAGCAGGTTGGACTTTTCGCAGTCTGCCTCAGTCCCCCAACAGCCTGCGCGGCCGTTGGTAACCCGGGCGACGACCGAGCGGCTATAATTTTCGATAGCTTCAATACCATAAGTTGCTGGTGGCTGAATTTTACGTAGACTTGCCACGGTCTCCAACCCTCCTCCTTTCTCATCCGGGCTTGGGACCGGCCATGGCGGAGTTATTTGTAAGGTACTTCAGGAAAAATTTCATAACCAACAGGTTTCTATTCATTGACTGTAGCTTTATCAGCAGTTGATCCCGAGAAATGGACTAACGCCTTGGTGAAGTCAGAAAATATTGTCCTCAAGCGTTGTCTTTTTAATGACTTGAAATCGGGCCTTATCGGTTCTGAGTTCGACGCTCTGCCAACTGAGTAACCCAGGTATGAAGCAATGTTTGGCAAATTCCTTGCTCAGTGAAATTCATGAATAAGACAAAAATTGTCCTTGAGCGGAGTCGAGCCCGGCACCTCCGGAGACCTCTTAGACTGTGGCAATAGTCACACTTGTTCACGCCACTGGCGGAGTCACTCGCCCTTCTTTCCAAGGTTAATATATGAGTATCACTCTGTGGGAAGTAAACAGGCGACTACACGCTACACTGGTCACATGTCTCTAGATTGTCTTGAAAAACAGAGCACTCCTGAATGATGGCATATAATGAGAGATCAGCAACTTCATGGAAAAAGGCGTCACAATGGCCAAATCATGAAAGTGTGGAAAAGTCGACATTCCAGCGGCGACAAACTTTCCTTATTTTAATAGTGATTTATGCTTATACTGCTAGTGCTTATCAGCACCTTAAATTTGATGGTCCCAAAATCCTTTACGGGGTGAGACCGCATATCGAATTCGTTACATATTTCCCAGCGTTTTTGATAATGCTAGATTCGTCTTCAAGGAGAGATATTATAACACAGAATGTTACAATATGTATCGACACAATCAGATCCGAGCTTCACTATGAAGTTTTTTGTTTGTAGAAGTTGCTTCATAACTTCATTCTAGGGCAAACTTAGTTGAATACCGATATCTTTACTGGTGCATCGGTTTGACTGAATTTTCAGGGCTTTCTTTATCTTCAGGCTTAAAAAATTTTCCGTCCTTGTATTCCTTTTAGTTGGTTCCATAGTATGGATTGTCGTTCATATACTGCATTTTGCATAGTCGCTGAGTTCTTTTTGTATTCCTGCTTTACTACCCGCAAATCTTTCGTCAGTCTTTGCCCTGTGCCTGTCTGTGCTTGTACATTCTGAACTAGATCGGCATTGCGCCATTTGGTCTAGTTACTGAGGTGTTATTTCTTCCTTTCCTTTATGGTGTTGCCGGTTTCACCTTTGTAATTGAGATCCCACTTTCAGTGTATGGTATAGATTCAGTTTTGCTAGATAGTCTTCGTATGCAACAGCTAGCCCCGTGATGGTTTTCCTGAATGTGAATAATAGCCGTATTCCACGCTTTCCGACGATATTCTGCAACTTTTCGCTTAGATTTTGTTCATACACAACATTTGCAACATTGCTTTTGTTGAAATCTTGTTCTTCACTTCTAGTTTTTTCCTTGCTACTCCTCCATTGCTGTTTGCTGCTTTCTTCTATTATTCGTCTACCGTAGCCACTGTTTCTTCGAACCCTTCAGATGTAATCCAGTTCCTTTTAGATACCAATGTCATCTGAGCTCAGCTCAGTTCAAGGCATCGGCTGGCTACAGTGCTAGCGATGTCCCTCTTCATGCAATATGCGTGGTTTGAATCCAACGCAAGAATTTATTGGTATGTGTTGGCTTGTGAAACACCTCTGTAATGTATTTGTTCCCCTTACTCACGATTAGTGTGTCAAGAAAATGTGTGATGCTGTTTTGCTTCATTTCAATCGTCCATACGATTTCTTCCATATACGAAGTGTTAATGTGATCAAATATGATCGAACATGGTGAATATATCGACAGCATTCCTTCTGAACAGGTTGGTCCTTCGGTCAGAAGTGGGGAATGGCAATGTTTCTAAATTCCTTGTAGAATTCCGTTTGAATTGGAGACAACGGAGAACCGATAGACAAACCATTCACTTGTTAGTGTAGTTCTTCATTGAATCAGAACTATCCATAGTCTACTAGACAGATTTTCATGATGTCGACAGCGTATTTGAATATTCTGTGCATTTATATATGATACACATATAGGAGACGTAGTCTACTGCCTAGCCGAAAACTGCCGTAGTTATCGCATAATTGAAGGTAATTTTTTAAAAGTAGAGTTATCCCTGACTGATAACGTCGTAAAAGCTTGGTCTTTTTCAGCTTGCTAATACTTACTTTCCAGATGTTGTGTATACGTTAGCTAGAAATTTCGACGTATTTAACGTATTATTGTTGGTTTATATTTATAATTTTCTGTGGCATGAACACGAGCAGAACAACTTTGAATGTAATAAAGCTTTCTTCATCACAGCCGTTTTCAAAGAGTTTGCTTCTATTACATATCCTTTGTAAAATGGCCCAACGTTTCGGATTGCATTCTATCTATCTTCTGAGGAACTAGCTCGCAAACAGTTTACACAAGCAATTTTGTTTGAGTTACGTCCCAGAAGACGTGGATAGTGTGATCCGAAACGTCGGATAGGGTGCGTATGCGGAGTTGACGTTTGGAGATTATTCTGACGAGGAACTATCACCCCCTTAAAGATTTTAAGCAATATCTTTAAACTGTGTGGTTTCTAGTATATGTTGAGGTTAAGATTGTCAAAGATTCCATAAGTGGCAGCTTGGTTGTTCATCCAAGCATGCAGTTTTCCTGCTACATTTCGTACCTTCAGTTGTTGTAATCAGTGATCTGATCTGCTTCATCTAAGGAATATTTTAGCAACTATTCTCACTCGTTGCATGTCAACTTATGATAGATATTTGATCGCTGACTCTGTTCCAGAGTCAGGTTGTCTTCCGCCGAAGCTCAGACGGCGCAGGATGGGGAGCATTTGACATTGTCTGACGCGTTTGCCTCCGCGACGCTAAAGGATAAGCGGTCATCGAAACTGATTTATGGAATAATTGATTGATTTACTGACAGAATGATAGGAGCACACACACTTAGCTGTACAGGGATTATATTTTGCTACTTTGACACCAGTTTATACCCTCTGTCCTAAAAATCTGGGAGTTCGAACGTGAGAGTTTCGTACTTTATTTGTCACTCACCACTGAACAATCTCGTCACATTTCGTTAGCATGCATCACGGTATTCTGCATCTGTGCCTGCCTGCTTTTTGTATCCTCACTGAAAATCAGTTTAACTCAATGGACTTCGTAAATAGTAAAGCCATGGAATGGGGACGAACGTAACGCCTTGAGCTCTATGAAGCGAGTGCTACAAATACCGATACCAGCGTATTCATCATCATGGCCTTTTTTGAATCATCGTTTGGCGATCGTCACAGGTTGCCATTTTTTCTCTTTCACCCCGAAGTAGGTTGTTCAGTTCAGCGTTGTTAATAATTATATGACTGTCAGCCGTAGTGATGTGGCCCGTCCGCAAGGGCAAACTTTTCCATCGACAGTTTGACAGTTTTAGAGCGGACCAAACAATTGTGTGTTAATTTGTTAAATTAACGGTCAGTAATCTTCGAAGTCGTTTCCTGATTTTCAGCGAGAACGTTTCGCCGCCTACAGCCACCGAAGTCGATCACAGTTTCGAGTACACCAGCTTCGATCACGCGACCGAATGCGACCAGTGTAAAAAACTTTTGCGGGGCATCTTTTTTCAAGGCTACCGCTGCACCCGTACGTTCGACAGCGCGGCGAGATTTGAGTACGTCACGCTAAACGTTTCAGGGTGCAAACTTTCGGTCCATAAAGAATGCATTACCGTATGTCACGGATGCGGGAGAAAGGACAGTATTTTTCGAAACAGCGGCTCCCGGGAAGGTATGATTACTTTTTCTAATGTGTGTTTCATCGATTTTTGTCCTAGGTAGTCAAGTGTGCATCGCGGTCCGGAGTTTTATTGGCAACAACGGAGGTCCGAGCTTTCTTTCCTTCAAAGAAAACGATCTTATCGAAGTGGTCAGCATAAACACCGGCTTGGAGGGTTGGTGGCGAGGTCGAATCATCGAGGGCGAATGCTGTGGTCGCACCGGGTTGTTTCCTCCCGACTACGTTCGACGGCATAACGTTTACCGCATTTATTGTTGATCTGCCTATGCACTGTTTGGTTTTCAGTCAGCCGCTGCCGCCTCCGCGGCCGCAAAGCGACCGACTTGGCCATGCAGTCGGTCGTCCAGCGCACTGAGTCACACTAGCGGTTTGAGTCTGAACGGCCGAGATTCGTTTGATGAAAAATCTGTCAACACTTTACACAGGAAAGCACAGTCCCGGCCAACATCACTCACCACACTCGGTTATCTCAACCTGGAAGACTTGCCGCTTTACCCGTGGTATCTTCATAGTATTTGCATATGTTGTACTCGTGAGGCACATGCGCATAGATAAGCATCACCGAAATCAAATTTGAATTCACTGTTTTAGTTAAACTGCGTAAATCCGTAAATGCTGTGTGCTAATCCTGGAGTATTTCTACTACTACAGAACATTAGCAGGTTTTGTTTCGTCAACTTCTAATGCATCGATAGGTATTTACAGCCCTTTATCATGTTTACGAATTACATTTAAGACATGTATTTGAATATTTTTCTTCGTACTCTGCCCCTTCCTGTTTGATTCTTTGTTCTTGTTCATATTCTTTGATATCTCCCATTGCTTTGTTTTCTGTGTTCCTTGTATTTTACCTTTTCCTTGTCCTTTTTTCTTAATTTGTTCGTTTATAAAGAATTAGATTGAAGACAATCAATTTCTACTACATTCTTTGATCTTTGGTCAAGTCGTTGGTCATCCCTTTCAAGTTCTTGAGAATATCATGCCACATATTCTTTCGTCTTCCTTGATATTTTATCAGCGTTTCGAGAGCACATAGCTTGTATAGTTATTAGGTCTTTCGACATGGCCGAACTACAGTACCTGTTTTCAGTAGGTTTTCTTATTATCAGGGTTGTCATTCGTATACCCCTTATTAAAGTTTTCTGGATGTAGTCTTTCTTTCTGATACTGTGCGCATAGCGTCAGTCAGTGAATAAGTTAGAATACTTACATTATTACATCGCGTATAATTTGAATGCTTGTATAGTTAACAACTTATATTTGGGTTGCATGTGCCGGGATTTATGAAAGTTGAGAATTCCTGGCGTAATGTGTAGGAACATGATATAACTATGTATATTAGTTATCCTTCTTGAGGTACTGTGATATTTTATGCTTTATTTCGTGATTCTTGAACAATGCGGAACCTTAAACTGTTACTTAGAAATGATAATATACCAAGAAGATAAATTCTTTTAGGTTTTTCTTAGTACTGGAAAACAGTGGATGTGTTCGTATATGCCTTCCGTTCCTTCCTTTCCTCGTATATGGTCTAATAGGTGTTTCGTTCGTTTCATACAGTGTACAGAGGAAATGATTTATGTGATGTCAGAATTTTAAAGCTACCGGCAACGTACCTGCTGTACGTATAGCCGCCCTGGATTGCGGACTTAATAATAAGGTTTTTGGGTATTTTGAAAGTTTATTTTCTTTAGGCATAAATTGGATGCATGTGCATCGTTTATTCGAATTTTAATTTTTGTGTCATCTACTCGTGAAATACGTATAAAAGATTTGATTAGAATTGAAGAATATTTAGGTACGTTGGTGAAATGGATCGCATCAAAGCGGAACAGGTTCTTAAAGGTCTTCCAATCGGCACGTTTCTTATCCGTTTTAGTCCGTCGCAGAGCCGTTATGCTATCAGCATAAGGTAACATCATTTGCTATTAGCATAAGGTCTAAAGCAAGTACCAGATTGGCGAAAGCACGTCTTTAAACATCGTTCGAAATTCTGCGACGTTGACATGTCGCATGGAAAGTTGTGGCAGTGAATCATCGTCATCGATGTTATTTAATATTTTGCGTTGGTCATGTATTACCGTAAGGTACTCTGTAGTCTCGTTGTGCCGTTGCTTGGATTGCGAGTACTGTGTGTTCGTTTCATTAAGTTAAAGGCCCCTTGGAAATAAAGATTATGGCACCATCTGAAAGCTACGACAGCCGTTTACTAGATTGGTGGATTGGTGATTGGTGAGGGACACTGATTGGTGAAGAACACTATTGAACACAAACCAAGCATGAAGATTTTAAGTCGACGATTGACAGTCAGAAAATGACAAATCTTTACTCTCAACGTGGAAGACAAAAATGTTGTCAATAAACAGCAATAAATTCTGAAAGAGTGAAAAATTTCTAAAGAAAACGGTACTAAGATGAAAAGAGTAATACTATTATTGACGATGAAGAATCTGAAGTTAGAAATGGCTTGGACAAAATTCCAGATATCGTACCAGAAGTGCGAAAAATGTGCACATTCAATTAAACACACGAAGCGAGGAAAGGCTCTTTTCCGACCAAGACAGGACTGCACTGTTTGAAGGAACTAAAAATTCCAAACGATTTGATTACCGTATCTGTGATTCTGATTCACAAAAAGGGAAACATCGTGGATTTAAAGATTTACAGGCTGATCAGTTTGCTGCTAGTCATCTGCAATATCTTCACGAAGTTATTGACCATCAGTCTTCAAGAAAACCTGGACGCTGCATAACCGCAGGGGCAAGCGGGATTCAAGAGTGGATTTTGTATGACGGTTCATCTTCATGTGGCAAAACAAGTAATTCTAAATAGTAATAAATATCAGCCTCCACTGTGTCTGGAGTTCGTCGATTTCGAGAAGACTTTCGACTCAATTTATACCAGCCCTGTATTGAATTGCTTGAGAAGGCAGAATATTGGGCAAGGACTTGTGTACCTGATCGCCGTGATTTACAAAAATGCAACTGCTAGTGAGAAGGTGCACAAAGGCCCAGACTAGTTCAAAATGTAGGAGGCGCAATATCATCGAAGTTATTCACCGTAGCCATAAAGATGTTTTCAGCACACTCCGTTGGAAAAATTGAGTGTTCAACATAAGTGGGTACTACTGAAGCCGCTGCTTAGTTCGCCACGGTTTCTGGACATTTTTGATCCTCCCTCTCAAAGCGGCAGAAAGTATCCCAAAGAAGAATTCAAGTACTGAATAACGCCGGCGTGAAAGTGATGCTTAAAATGAACATGAAGACAGCTCAGGTCAAGTTGAGCAAATACTTGGCCGCTCGACTTGTAGAAATCAGCAGACTTGGGCTTGAAGAAGTTCAGTACATCTATCTGGGGCAGCTTATCTGTGCAGCGGCGAATTGTCGCCGTGAGTTCAACAGAATAATGAAAATGGCATGGATCACTTTTAGAAGACTGAAACTGTTCCTATCCGGGAAACTGCCCATATGCTAGAAATGAAAAGTTTTCCATCAGTATGTTCGCAATGCTAACGTAAAGGCGAGAGACGTGGATCCATAGCCTAAAAACTATTCATAAACTGCAGACTACGCAGTGCAGCATGGAAAGATGTATGTTGGGAATAACAAGAAAAGGTAGAAAGACGAATGAATGGGGACGAGCACAAACAAGAGTCTGCGATGTTATTGTCTGAATGGTGGGCATGGCAAGTTGCAAGTAGAACCAACCATTACTGGACCAGAATGGCGTTAGACTGCTTTCTAAGAAAGAGAGCATTCAGCCAGTAGGAAGAAGTCCAGATCAATGACAGGATGAGCTGAAGAACTTGGCTAAGTCAGATTGATGAAAATGACAGAAAACAGAAGCCTGTGGCAAAGTCTTGGAGACCTTCAAGAAGCAGCGGATCGAAAAACGTTGATGATGACGACTACGAAAGCCACAAGGAGCTCTTGAATAGATTTAAGTCTCCAGTAGACTTTAACATAATCACATTTGACCGTTGACTGTGCCGCTATCGAGGCAATAGATTCGAGGAGTTAGCACTGTACTGAGTGTCCGATTCTTGCGGGCGCAAATATTTTGAAATGGAGAAGTGGAAACCTTTTTGTTGGAGCCGCTAGATTTTCTGGGGGTGACATCTGTGGAAAGTCAGTACTTGCGTTGACTAAAGGAAGCATGTCTGTTATGGTATCTACCGATCGTACTACCTGTTCAGAAATCATCGGGTGCTTCACGTGCTGGAAGAGTTCGCTCAGATTATCCCGGAAGACTGAAGGAAGTTATCTGTCGTCTGATACTTAATACCATTCATCGTCCAGAGTGACTGTCCATCAATATCGGTACTGAATCAGATTTATGTGGCAGTTTAAAGTGTCTGAACATAACACATGCTAACATTTAACTACACAAACATGCAAATTTAAGCATTCGCTGAAACTATTTAGTTTCGGTTTCAGCTTAAGTGTTTTTGCAACATAATGCATCAAATAAGGAAGGTTGATTAACGTACACTTCTCTAACGAATAACTCCTCTAAGGCCAGATATAGGAGGTTGTACCTTCAAACGGTTGAAATTCTCGACCACAAGCTTCTCTGCGCTGTTCGTTCAGAGTGCTTCGCTGACGTTAAATATATCGTTGACCCCTATTATGAGAAAGGGGTTTTAGTGACTCAGTGTTTAAGTTCGGATGAGATTAAACTCGTTTTAGCGTATAAAGATCTCTGAAGAATTCTGTTCCTTACAATTCAAATTATTCGTCACATTTGCAGCCCCCTCACTCAAGTTGTAGGCTATGTACTACTGACTGAATTTAGTTTAGTGTACACTGATTGTAGGTTAAACGGCACGTCGTAAACAGGTAATGATGTCTGAATCTGAAACAGTGATACTTGAGAATATTTTCAGATTATCGCTGCTTGATGAAAACGCATGATGTTTCAATATCCTAGGCAGGTAATTTGATCCTTTCCAGTAATGTTGTAGTTGTGTGACTCTGAGGATAAAATTGTGGTCAGTGATTAAGAGAAACAGTTAGTGTGCGCATTTTTGCTGATTAATGATTATTTGCTGTTGCGGTCTTGCATTTTTCGAGGCGGACAAGTTATTTTATAAAGTTTCAAACGTTG